ATGTTGGCAATGGGTTGAAAATCGGCTGTCACCTTGGCTCCAGAGCACTTGGCCAACATTTTGAAGACTGTCTGGCGCCAGTTGGCGGTGTGTTGCGGTTGAAAAGTGGTGTGTTGAACGAATAAAACCACTTTCGTGAGCAGCCTTTTTCGATTCCACATGTTGTGATGTCTTCAACAATTTTTCCATCGTCCATGGTGTCATTGTGAACCCAGAGGCGATGACTTCACCGAAAGTCACTTTTGTGACATTTGTGCTGGGGTTCGTCAGGGCTGCGTGCTCAGCCCTTGCCTGTGCTGCGCAGCACGTCAATCGGGCATGGGGATTAGAGGGCACATGTTGGTCGCGGGATTAGAATTGGGGGACGGCATGAGGCCTTTGCCTTTTTTGCGTCTCGCAAATGATGTGTTGATTTTTTGCGAAATCCCAGCAAGAGGTATCATGGCTGTTGGATGAATTGGTACGACAATGTGCTCGTGTCGACTTGATCCCGAACGTGAAATAGCAAATCCTCACCAACTACACCGTGCTGTGCATCAAGGGGGCGTGAATCGCTTGGATGTGGCTTTCCGGAAGCATCTGCGGCACATGGTTGGGCCACCCCCCAGCATTCAGTGGGATGCTTCCTGGCATGAGATTCTACATCAGTGGAACGCTCGTTCGATGGACTACTGCGGGCTTACAGGCTGTCCATCATGGTTTCAAAATTGTTTGCAGCAATATTGGAAACTTGCTCAGCATGTTACTCATTTTTCCCATGAACGCTGGGTGAAACGGGTTTTGGCATGGCAACCTGTTGGAGCAAGAATGGCGGGCAGGCCGAGGCATGCATGGAACACAAGTGTTGATACATTTTCGCGCTTGGAAGGTTGGAACGACTGGACATTTGTAGCACATCATCCCGCATTGTGGTCAAACCATTGCGAAGAACGTGTGAACTCCACGCTTCGAGTTCAAGAATGAAATTTTCTGAGAGCAACTTTTTGTACAAGTAGTTTTATGCGAAGTTGTGGTGTGAGACTTGTGTGATCCCCTGTGCCCTAAAAGGGCCGCGTTCGGGCGTACAGGCCACCATGACCTGACCTTATTGCCTTGCAGATATTACATTTTGCTACTGCTGTCCGTAAATGCATGGCATACCAAAAAATACGGTAACAAGAAAGCCTGATAATGCATAATGATATCACATGAAACCGATAACGATAACCGATCAGACATGATAAACATCAACAATTCCAGGGCAGCTAGTAGGAGGCTCCGTGGATCAGGCGCGCAAAGGTCCGTTGAAAAAATGTCGTCCTGCAGGTGGAGAACAGGTCCCCCCCCCAAAAAAAAAACAACGAACAACATCAAAATAAAACACAAATAACGAGTTGCAAACAATGAAACACTCCTCCTGATCGAGCAGGTGCAAACTCCGATGAAAAATACAACGAAGTTTTCGTAGTAACAGATTGGGTATTAACAATGCCACAAGAGTCATATCATAAATGCATAATTATGCTAAGCCATGCTTTCTAAGCTGACGTTCAATGGCGGTGCAGGCAGGGTGCGCAGGGGATTGCAAAGAGTACTTTGGACGCCAAGCTGGACGTAGCTGCCATTGCTCGTGTACTTTTCGATATGTGATCTTCCCTGTGCATAGGTGACATTGTTGCTTTGCTAGCCCCTGTATATCGTTTTTCATCGTGCTTCGCTGATGGTTACGGTGTTCAGCTTTGGTCGTTGCCAGCGGGATTTGGGGGCTCAGGAATTGCGATATTGATCATGAAAATCTGTCAATTAGATGTCAGCTCCACTTTTGTACACCGCTTCAACGCAAAGATTTTCACAATCGTATTTCTTGTTTAGTATTTGTCCTTCTGCTGTGGGCAGGCCCATGACTTAGGCGAATTCCTTCCAAATCCATTTTGATAACCCGTTGTGCGTGTGGGTTTGCGGAAGCCCAAAAGGTAGCACTAGGATAAGCGCTAGCGCGCATGGAAGCCAGGGCTCGGGGTTTATTCTACATGAATCTCATTGAAAAACCGGGCATATTTAGTAGGTTGCTGGCATCAGCTGCAAGTCCTAGACACTGAACCCTAGATAGTCCACGGGGATGCAGGTTGAATACGGCCCATCTGTGTTGGTTACTGAGGCCCAAACCGTACCGTGCTGCTTTATGGGCCCAAGTTACTTGTACTCACATGCATCAAGAATGCCGCATGGGAGCAACTGCGAAACTTAACGCACCAAAGGTGAGGAAGGGCTTGACAGTTAGGTCCGACTTCAAAATATGAATCCTCATCCTTTTGGAGTTTTTGTACAACATTTCCAAAGAAGCCCAAAACACACCCCTTCTATACAGGGATTCTGTATGCTTCAAAAATCGGTCGGAAATTGCCATAGGCTGCGGCCAGGGTGCACATTAGAAAATACAAGTAAGCAAAGGGTCCAACATGAAATTTTGATAAACAGAGGCAAAGCAGGGGGAGGTACCGGGTTTGACTGTGGCCCAGCCCAGCGCCATTTCGGCTAGTTAATACGGTTAGAAGACGAACATTACTTGGACCCATTTGACTTGCCACATGGACCCATCTCACTAGGGGGCTAACATAGCGACATGTGGCAGTTGAAGAAGAGTCAAGCTTTGGGCGCAAAGCCATCTCGCAGAAACCGTCAACTGCCTGGGACGTGGCCTGCTGCCAAACCTGGGTGAGGTCCAAAGGAGGGTCGTCCTCAATTGGCGACGGCAGCTCAGCCTGCAAACCAGCAAGCAATTCAGCCAGTTTGGTGCAATTAGAAAAGCATGGGCAAGTTGACCATCATTCATGCTCGCGATATGGGGGGTGGGCAAGGTCCTCCGGCCACTTTTGAGAACCCGTTTTTGGCAAATTGCTGGTGTACATGTCGGGGGGTCACCAAACCCTTGAGGCATCCAGCGAGGTCTGCCAGGTCATCTTATGATGCCAAAGGCCAACTGCTGAATGTTTCTTGTGGTATTTGCGGACGTTTGTTTCCCCGTGCTCCCGCTTCGAGACTTGCCTCGAGCAGAGATTTATGGTCATTGCAGACGAAGAATTTGTACTTGGATGGCAAAAGAGATTTTGCAGTCGGATGTTTTGACATTTAAGGGCCCCCAGTTGGGGGCCCGCGTCCCTAAAATTTTGCCGCTGTGAGTTCGCGGGCATTGGGGTCACAAGGGTGCATGGGCAAGTTTTGTTTGCGAGTGTTGGCAGCAGCAAGCATTAGCGAGGGTGCGCACAAATAACGAAAGACAGCGCATGCAAATTTCGCCTCAGATTCTTTTCAGTTGTGGCTAGTTTTGCGTTTCATTCGCTAAGAATCCCTAACTTGCAACCACGTTGAAAACACACACGCAGCTTGCTCCACGCAGGAACACGGATTGAATGAGGCGTGACTGGTAGTGACACGTGTGGGCATGCCATGGGGGAACGCCTGCATCTTTCTCCAGCAATGAGGCTTGCGAGTGCATTCTGTGCCAGGGTTGGGTTAAGGCATCACCACATGCGATGTAGGAATGCCAGGTGGGACGCTGCAGACCCTAGCGATTTGTAGCTTTAAACGCTGCTTGGCCCTGTCTAGGGTCTAGCATGGATCCGATGATTGTTGGGGACATTTTAGGACGGATGGTTTTGTTAATCAGGTTTCCCAAATTCATTACAGCTTCATGAAATCAGTTTCCCTCCGTCGTTTTGATGCCAGAAATGTGGAGGCCCTGAAGTGTATGTCCACGCAAGCCTGAGGAGCAAACGCTGCTTGCATTCGGGTTGCGAGAACAACTGTACATTACTGTCCTACGATGGGAGTTGCGATCGCTTGCTGGCAATATCTCCGCAACTCAAATCTCAAGTTCAGGACTGCCAACATGCTGTTTGTAATCGTGCAACTAATGTGCCAAGTTCGCAGCCACCACCTTGATGTTCCAGGCTTCCAATTTGGACGCAAAAGTAGAACCCCCCCCCCGCCTTTCTCATGCATTTGCAATGGCAACAGTCCAGTACTTCACAGTACTGGCCATTGCCGTAGTGGCCGAGGCATGCAACAAAAATTCAGATTGCGCAAGCAACTGGTGCGACGGCGGCACTTTCTTCTCCTCCGGCCGCTGTAAGCCACAGAGGGCCGATGGCGAAAGAGCAGTAGGGAGCTGGCCCAGCTATGACTACAACATTTGCCTTGCCGGGCGTGGCAAGTGTGGTATTTGTGGCGATCGGGTGCCTGATGGCAGCTCGTGCACCGAAAACAGGGACTGCAAGTCGGACTGGTGCCAAGGATTTGGCAGCTGCAGTGGAGAGTGCAAGGGCCGTAAGGCCGATGGGACCAGGATTGTTTGCGACAGCCTATCTATCACCACGGGCGGTTGCGATTACAATCAATGCGAAGCCCGTGAAGGCAAGTGCGGAGTATGTGGGCGCAGCGTGCCCGATGGTTCGACTTGTTCAGAGAACGCTGACTGCAGCAGTGGTTGGTGTGAGGGTTTCCCATCAGCCGGTTGCCAAGGCACATGCAGGCCCAAGAAGGATGATGGGTTCGAACTGGAGTGTAACGACCCCACCAAGGTCACTTCTGGAGGTTGTGATTACAATCAGTGCAAAGCAGGAGAAGGCAGATGTGGAGTCTGCGGTCGCAAGGTTTCTAGTGGAACTGCTTGTTCCCAGGAAAGTGACTGCATCAGCAATGTCTGCCGCTTGCCCGGAGGTGTTCTTGGCACTTCTGTAGGTTGTAATGGTCTTTGCACCGAGCCCTTGCCGGATGGGTCCATGTTGCCGCGACTCACGTGGCCCATCGGTGGTGCGTTCTTTGACTACTCTGAATGTTCTGCCAAGACGGGCATTTGTGGAATTTGCGGGAACCAGGTGGGTGAAGGCGCCAAGTGTTCAGCATCATCAGACTGTGCAGAGGATCTTTGTTGTGGGGGCCTTCTTGGAGGTCGCATTTCCGTTAACTGCCAGGGTACCTGTGTCAAAAAGACCCCAAGTGCTTGTCCAAGCTTGGTGGACATGAGCGCTCTGACCCAAGTGGTGGAGGAATTTGTGAAGTTTGCTCGAGATTTCGGCCAATGCATGGTCGAGGAGGTGGTCGACCCGTGGCTAGAGGCCTACAGTTGTCAAACGATTCCCGAAACCATTTGGACCCAACAACTCCAAAATGAGCAGGCCCAGAGACATAAACACACGTGTGACAGAGATTGCATGTGCGATGTCATATGGCACGTAGGCTGTCGTTGTTGTTGTGCGCTGCAGCTTAGAAGTGGGATTGGGATACAGTAAATGTTTCGACTGATTGAACTTTGCCAGCATTTTGCCGCGGCGATGCTGCCTATCGGGCGTCAGGCCTTCCCTTTTTGTGTTTCTCCGCCTCCTCTCTCTGTCTCTCTCTCTGTCTCTCTCTCTTTCTCTCTCTTTCTCTCTCTCTTTCTCTCTCCCTCTCTCTCTCTTTCTCTTTCTCTCTCTTTCCCTCTCTGTCTTTGTACGTCCTGTGGTGGAACCATGCCGGATCATGGGAATATCATGGAATATCAATGGTGTCAACCAAGCCTCCGAGACTTCGGGGCCAGCAGAAACTTTTGCAAAGCTTACTCAGCAGAATAGCCGCAGCCCCAACAGCTTGAAAGTTGCTTCTGCTGGTCCTAAACCTTAATGCTCCTACGGACGTGCTGGCCTATCCTTCTGTCACTTTCACGTGTCTCCACTCTGTTCCGGTCTGCGTAGCATCGTCAGGCCATCAACGGCCATGAGACTTTGCAGCGTGAATCAATGTGCTTGATAGCATAGATCTTGCAGCAAAGTGGTTTTCGTGATTACCAGGACGAGTATGGTTGCAGATTCAGTGCCTCCCCTGGGAAAATGACGGCTTCGCTAACGTGCACAAAGCTCGATCCTGAAAGTGCGCGTCGCCTTGCAGCCTCCGACGAGACGGGATCCTGGGCCCGGCGCTTTGGATATGCTTCCGCACGAGCAGCCCGCGATGCAGAGCCCGTCCTGTACCGACTGGGACAGCCTGGAGAGCTTGGGCTTGGCCGGCAGCTCTTGGGCATAGGCTCTGCGGAGGAGCCGTCTACCAGCCAGCTGGGCTGCAGAGAGACCCAGTACTGCAATGCCGGAGCCGTCCTCAGTGTTGTCGCCAGCATCGACTTCAAGCCGAAGGTTTCCATTGACATTGATACCACCGCAAGTACTGCAATAATCGGTTTGGAGGGAGACGTGACTGGCATAGCTGGTCTCGGTGTCCTTGCAGGTGGCTCCTGTACTTACGAGAAGGAGCTCTTCTTTCCAAGCGCACCGAAGCCTGTGGCCACATATTGCCTGTATGCAGTGTGTGTCACCGTGCTGATTCAAGGCTCCGTGAAGCTGGCGATCGAAGGAGAGTTGCAGGCCACGGCGAGCGCGGAGTACCACACAGTCTACAAAGTCGGTGGCCAGGCAACTTTGGAGCTTTCGCCCGACAACCTCGATCAGAGTGCCAACGCGGCGATTACTGCAGACCGTGTCAGCGACCACTGGAGCCTGAACGCGGTAGGTTACTGGGATTTCTTTGAGGAGTTTTCTTGCAGTTGCCACAAAGAGGTGCACTTACTCTGTATCCTTTTTTTGGTATCTTGAAGTCAACTCGTTAACAAGAGCCCAGGTTCGATGTCGGCTTCAATCTCGGTAACGGTGGGTCCCGTCGTAACAGTGCTCGTGGTCCCCGGCACCTTTGCAACGTTGCATCCTTATGTCATGGCTCAAGCCTCTCTCTTTGGCACGATGAAGTTTGAGAAAGCTTCAGCCAGTGAGGTCCCTGAGGGCATCACGCCTGTCTCCTGGCCAGTTTCCTCTGAAGTCTGCACAGATGAGGCCCAGAAGCAGAGCCTTGCGAGCAGGCAGTTCGTCCAGCAGAGGCCGGGGAAGGAAACGACAAGTTCTGGCAACGCCACCAGTGGACAAGGTGCGAAACCTAAACCCTGGACCCTAAACCCCAAAATCCCAATGCGGGAGGCAACGAAACCTAAACCGTCAACCCTGAACAAGGGCCTGAACTTGCAACCCTAAACCCCAAACTTCAAGCTGCGCCTTGGCTACAGAATTCCTTGGTTTGCTATTTACGGACTACTAAATATAGGGTTTAGGGTTTGAGGTTTAATTATCCAGACCTCTATACAAGGCCCTAGACTAGGCCTTAAAACCCAAACTCGACACCCTAAACCCTGAACCAAACAACTTTGAACCCCAAACCCTCAAAGGCTTCACGCTGGATACAGACCTCCATGACACATCATAGTGTATAACGCCACGTACCAGGCTGCATCTTTTTGACAGGCCTCCCCAAACCCCAAACCCCATAACCCATGAACCCTCAGCCCTGAGCCCTGAACCATCCGAAGCCCTAGAAACCCTAACCCTAAACCCTAGATAGTAGTTTCCATTTTCTTTTCCATTATCCCAATTTAACCCCTATTATTATAACCCCAATATAACCCTAATATTAGAAACCCTAAGCCCTCGGAGGTTTCACCTTGGCTACAGACCTCCTGGACAGTGACGGGCAGTGCTTCGCCGTGGGCTGGAACGCGGTGGTGGGCGTCGAGGCCACGGTTCTCGGACCTCCTCCGGGTCTACAGGACCTGACCCAGGTGGCTTTCCTTTTAAAGGGTTCCTTTTAAGGGGTTTCTGTGAGGCTTTAGGTAAAGAATGTGCAGGGTTTGCGAAGGGTGCTACAGGTGGGAGTTTCTGAGAGCTTTATTCCGTTTAGGAGTCGCTATGATCAGCACCCTGCTAGTTAGGTCCCTTTGGCAGGGCTTTATGAGAGATTCTGAAAGTTGTGGGTTAGGGCTCCTGATTTTCTGACTCCCAGGTTTTGAGTGCAGTCAGCAGCGAGTTGACGGAGTCGCTCACGAAATTTTCGCTGGGATCTACAGCGGCTTTGGGGGCTGTGAATTGTGTTGGTAAATGGATCACAGGCGATGAGAACTTCGATATGGTGTCAGCTGGTCTTACTGCGGCAGTTCAGGGGCTTTTGGGCAAGATCCCGACCAGCAGCTTGGATGAGCTGCCCGTGTTTGATACAGAGGCTTGCTATGACATATACAAGGCTAGTGTCGGAGAAGGTTGCTTGTGCTCCGTAGGCTGTGCTCGCAGGGAGGAGGACATCAGCTGTTCTCCGAATGATGGAACCACAAGCCTTGCCTGTCGGACTTGCGGCACGTTCCTTTGCATACTGCTTGCTGCTTGGTCTTCTGAGTCTCTCCTAAGGAGGATCTGAGGCATCGGGGCCTTCTGCTCTTTCCACAACCATTTAGGCTCCTTAAAGGAACGCCTGCAGTCACGCTGCTCCACCGGCGTCATGGATCTCTGAATAGACAAGCGTAGATTGTCAAGACTTGATGTCCATGCATCTCACTTGGTGCTGATGATTGACTACGGCCGGGTGAAGCAGAATGACAAATTGTCTTCCAGGTCAATGTGGGAGTTTCGCAATGTACATGGGCCTCAGATTGACCCCCCAAAAACATTCAAGAGATAGAATCCTGAATGTAAGGCTTAGGCCAGGAACCAGTATCTTGAGAACTGCCTATGCAGCTGGAAGTGGCGGCCACGACTTCGTATCGTTGCGCAATACATTCAGAAAGCCACGTAAAGTTTGACGCACAGGTAACCCGAATGCTTCAAGCGAGCAGCGCAAAGAAACCTGGGTTGCTGTTAAGGAATTTAGTTCAAAATGCCCTATTATGGCTATGTAGCAAAAATATGCAAAAATAGCGTTTCCTTATTATAATTAGTTGCCTAAGTTCAGTCCTTTGACAGCAACCTGGAAGAGGACAGCTCGACAGCCAATGGTTTGACAGCTGGTAACCGGAAGCCGGGTCAAAGGAAGATGAGAAGATGTGAGGAAGAAAGGAACCACGAACCAGTGATCTCTGGTCTCCCCAAAGAGGTGCTCAGAAGCTGAAAGCTTCAGAGCCGGGAGGAAACAGAAATTTCGCAGAGAGTGAAATTGAAATTCTCACTGCGTCCTCATGCACTGCATGTGCAGTCTCTTGAAGTGGTTGTTGTGTTAGTTGCGAACACCCAGGAGCATGGCAAGTTTGACGTGTCCCACTTCCTGAGAACTATGAATTGTAGTGGAAGCAGAAAAAAGCAGGATCAACACTGTATTCAAGCCTGCTTGCAGGCTGAAGTCATGTGACCAGTTGGTGTTGGCGTCGCAGGCGCTGCGCCATTCTTTGCTGGTGGCACAATATCATGGTTCGAATTTCAACCTTTTGGGAGCGCCCTCTGCGCTAGGGCAGCAGTTGTATAGGTTGTCAACACAAGCAAAGTAAATTGTGACTTGATCCTTGCATCGGCCAGCACCAGCCAGGCAGATGGAAATCGGTTACAGGAAGAAAACCCTAATGTAGACGCGTGATTAATAAAACCCGCGCCTGTTAAGGGCCTTGATATAAGGATCCCTATTACAATCCCTATTCTGGGGAGGGGGTTTATTAATCAGGGGTCTGGGTTAAACCTAAAACCTCCAAAGCTCAAACTGCCTTTGAGCCAATCACGCCAAGAGTCTGCCAAACTTTGGCATGGAGCCAAAACATTGCCAAAAACCGGCCGTAAACCGCTCATAGGCCAGGACGTTTCTCATGTGGATGATCAGCAGCAGTGACATGCATCCGTGTTGGGTTTAATGGTGCAGGACAGGATGGCATCACAGAACGGGAGGATGGGCTTAGCGACCCAGACAGCCTTGATCGTGAAGCCGATCTTCCGAGAAGCCTAATGCAGAAGAAGACAGCAGTCAGCAGCAAAGCTCTGTGACCTTGCTGCCGTTCCTGGCCACGCAGCCGCATGGACAAAAACAGCCAGAGATGCCTCGCACCGATTTCTAGTTGAGCAGTGCGGCTTCTATCGAGAAGCGCAAGCTTGCCCGCTGATGATCTGTTGTCACACCCGCTCGTCTCAGCTGTTGGTTGTCTCAGCTGTGTCCTTACAAGAACAGTTGGACAGTTATGTTTTGCAAAGCACCGCGCCCCTTATCTGAATGATGCATTGCACAATTTGTAGCTGTGGGTTGACACATATGCAAGCCCAAAGCAACAGTCCACGTCGTACGGAATCACAAATGAGGCCAATCAATCTGCCATGTTCGGGAAATACGCATCAGCATTCAAAGGGCCTGACGCATGCCCCAGCATGCCACATCGTGCCTCGCACCGAGCTGGCGAGGCCTGCCCGGATTTTGAGATAAAATGGTAACGTATCAGGTCAGGTTTGGGGCTCGGGTTTGGATATTAATACCGATTGTCGCGGTTTGAAACGGGCTGGATCCAGATTTGTATGTGCTCTTGCATCTTGTTGTTGCATATACTCTGCACTATCTTTCGAAACCTAGAGTACACGAGAGCACAGAATGCTGTTCAGCAAGACTTCCATACAATCAGGGAAAGAATTTCCTCTGACATCCTGCGGTGCTCGCCTCCCCCCGCCACTGGACTGCAATTATGACACTGAACGCACCAAAACCGTGTCGAACATCACTGAGCTCTTGCGGCCCTTAAATGATAATTGTCACTCAATTTTCTGAAGCCCATCTGAAATACGGCATCTATTATGGGTTTTGGTGAGTTTATATCATAGAGTTCCTTGCGAACATTGGTGAGTGCTTACAGTTGGTGTCCAATCCAGGGGGACCATAAAGGAACATCCCACCATTGTTAGGTTTAAGAAGAGGTCAATGTTGTTCGTGACGCAGCATCGCCCGTCTGATTTGATACTCGGGCTGTGCAAGCAGGTTCCATGGCGTTGGTTGTTACTTTGTTCATGGCCCGCCGGGGAGGGGGGGGGGGCGGGGCGGGGGCGTTCATGCAAACACTTAAAATCTCTCGAAAACGTGTACAGTAAGAACCATCAAAGGAGACACAACGACTTGACCGGCAAGGTTTTTTACTGGGAGGGCTCCAGAGATTGAAAGCCAGCAGGGTGCTGAGTTATTTACTGAACTGTTTGACATCCATGGCAGGCAAAGACAAAGCAGCTGGAAGACGATGCAGTAGCTGCTTACCCGCCCCAGCGCGAGGCGCACCTTGCTGAGACGGTGTTTGATTGTCGTGTTCCTGATTTGGTATGAATGTCTCATGTATGTCTTAAATAAAAGAAGTACAACCCGCGCAGCTTGGGCAGCGGGAGAGAGAATGTGAGGCCAGACATTTGCGTATGGTTGTCCACACTGCTGCTTCCATGATGCCTTCACATGATTGTCTTCATCCATGTCAACAACCGGAGAATTGCAGAGGCCAACATCTGGGAGTTGGCGGTTACAACTGGCTCCCCACCACCGGAGCGAGAGGGTCACACGGCCGTCCTCTGTGATTCAGCTGATGATGGTCCTGTTGCTGTCATTGTGGTCCGTAGATGTCTGTAGGTTTATTAGGCTTTCCACGTAGCCACAGCGCACAAGCACCGAGGATCAGTGGCGGGGGCTGAGACCATATTGCAGTTTGTATGATTGTCGAGAGTATGGTTTGGCTGGATGGGGTCCGCACATCAATCCATTGTGTTAACAACTCATCGCGCACAGCTTGCATACAGGGCTGTGTGAGATCATGTGAGCCGAGGGAAACCTTGCCCTACCCTGGGCGAAAATCGGCCACGTTCTTATTTAGTGTGTAGTTCTATGTACTGTTTCCTCTGCGTTAGTCCGACAGGACAGTACCATGCGGGTATAAAGGTCCGACGAAGGATCCTTTGCTTTTACACTGGTAGTGGTGGTGGTGATGGTGGTGGTGGTGCCGGCGTGGTAATGGTAATGGTAATGATAATGGTAATGATCATCGCCAAACGGCGTGAATTCGGCCGTGAGACGTTTGTCAATCTTGATTCAGTCACGAACCCCCTGCCCATACCAGAACAAATTTCGCATTGCTAGAGCACGCGGTGACCAGAGCATCCACACATGCAGACCAGAGCATCGAAG